GCTAGGTACATCAATTGTGTCCTCTGCTCTTAAAGGTAGTGGACTTATGAAGAAGAAGTCCTTAAGTGTCCTGTAGTGCAATGTCCCCTGCTTCCCAGGACCTGGCACTTCAGATAGTTTCTCTTGAGTGTGCTGTATGTGCTTCGATGTCTTCTCATATCTTTTTCCTTCAGTTCAGTTGTCTGCAGTGACTCTGTTTGCCTATTGTGGGAAGTATTTGGTACCTGGCATGTGTGGCCTGATTTAAAAAAGGTACATGCTGGTTGGCTTGCTAATTGAGACCTGGAGCTGCTGCTGTTAGTACTGGCTAGCCTAGGTGAATAGACAAAGGGCACATGAGTAGGTCTTACACTTTTAACAAAGTACACCTCAAACTTCTGCAGAGCCTGCTGCTGCCAAGACCAAGGCTCTGAAAAAGGCACAGGTCAGGAATTGCAGTGTTGGTGAGGTTTGCATTGATCTTCTGGGAGAGAGGCTCTGTGGTGCTGAGACTGGAAATGGCAGCTCCACTGAAGGATGGGGCCAGAGGTTGGTGCTAGCACATTAGATAGCAAGTGTGGGCAAAGCTGGTTCCAACATGTAGCTATGTGTTTATGCTGGGGGGTGGGGTTGGGAAATGGTGCCTGCCAACTCCTTTGTTCCTGGAGGAGTCTTTCTGAGATTGCTATCTCTCCACGACATGTTCTATATTGAGTAAATCATTCTCTCTCCTCCTTGCTACCCAGTGTTTTTCAAACTGTTGGTTCTACACTGATTCTGCTCAGGCTGCTAGTCCAACTTTGTCTTCAAGGGTGGGGACTCAGCTTCCTAATGCCAGCAGAGCTTTCCCAGAGCCAAACACCTTATTTTAAGAATTTGAGGCTTTAAGTCCCACTATTTGCAAAAACTCAAGAAATCAGGCCCCTCTCGTTTTCGAAGCCAAGTGTTATGGGGATTTGTCTTTCCAATTTTAGTTCCCTGACTTGATTGTCTTTTCTTACCTTTCACCGTGCTTCCAGCTTGCTCCTGTCTGTGGATGGCCACAGTTCCTTTAGGTCTCAAATCGCATGTCCACCTTCCTCAGTGTGGCCTCTTCTCTACCTTTGGTCATGGGTTTTTTCTGTAAATCTTTGGGTCTTTTTCTAAGTGAGAGTTTTGTCTAGTTTTATCCATGGAATGAGGTGAGGTAGGGTCCTCTTACTTTGCCATCTTCCCAGCGTTACAAGATAGAAAATCTTTGGTGTCACTGTTGACTAATGGGTGTTTCAGGGATTGGGTTCACATACAGGATTCATAGGAAGACAGCTTCTCAAAAAAGAGCCTCAAACGTTGACACAATGTGTAGGCACTTAGCTTTCCCTTATTCCTGTTTATCATTCCTAGGGGCTACGTTACCATGTGGGCAATGCTCATTTTATAGAACAAATATATGAATATATATACAAATTCAGAACTCCTAAACCTAAACAGGTCAGTGAATGCCCTCCATTCTGTAACCCTTTACCACTGCCTTTTTGTTATAAGGTAATATCTTTGACAGAGATGGAATAAACACATTATTAGTTATGTGTACAGAGAAAATGTAATATCCTTATAGTCTATAATCAATCTAATCAGTTCTGAAGTTCCTTCTCCCCTGGAAAGCCAGAGGGGATTGAGGAAGGGGAGGGGCTAGGTAGCACTCTTATTTGTTAGCATTGGCAGTTTCTTTTTATTTAATTAATTAATTTATATTTATTTCTGAAAGAGAGAGGGAGAGAGAATGAGCAGGGGAGGGCCAGAGAGAGAGAGGGAGACACAGAATCTGAAATAGGCTCCAGGCTCTGAGCTAGCTGTCAGCACAGAGCCTGACGCAGGGCTTGAGCCCATGAACTATGAGATCGTGAGCTGAGCCGAAGTCGGACGCTCAACTGACTGAGCCACACAGGCACCCCAGCATTGGTGATTCTTCTGGTTTATAGTCCTTTAGCTAATCCACTCTGTGTGGGGTAAATGCCCATGTTCCAGAGTTTGTACCTTTCTCCTGCTCCTCTTTAAGATGGTATCTAGGTATCTGAGCAGGGTTTATATGACTGCAGAGCCTTGAGCAAGGGCTTGTGTATCCATATAAGCAAATCTTTGTGTTGCCTTCTGGTCTTCTCTCGAGTTGGTACTTTGGTCTCATGCCTCTTCTGCTATCTGTTGCAAGATAGCTGGCTTTGCCTAGGCTTTGGGACATTATACTGGCACCTATTCCTGAAGTTCATGTTCTGTTTGCTTTTCTGTGATCCTGAAGTCCCCTGTGCACTGAAGTCTCTTCATCTGAATCCCTGGCCTAATTCAATGTCACACATCTATACCCACCCTCTACCCTGAGGCACCAGGGGTTTCTGGATTTCTGCATGCTGTACTTGCCTGTATGGAGCTTATCTAAAGAGCTACCCCAGCCCACACTCTGCCATTGCAGTGTTCTGCATTATGCTGGAATTGATGTTGAGTAGAACATGCGGCTTCTTATTTAGATAAAAGGCTTGTGACCTGCACCAAGCTGTGCCTGGTGAAGTAGGTCACCAGCCCCATTGACTTGTTTCACAGACCCATCTGCATGTTTGTACTGTTCCACCAAGAACATTGACATCTGAGCTCTTGGCTCTACCTTAGTTTCATTGTCTCCCCACCTACACCCATTCAGTATTTTACTTGCTAGAAGTGATGGGCTTTTCCCTATTTCTTGTCTAGGAGAGACTTCCTTTGTAGATGCACTACAGCTATGTAATTGTAGCCAAGTTGTCTTCCTTTCTCAAAAATGTCTGCTTCTTAAGACTATGGTTTTACCAAAGACTCAAAAAGAAGTTACTTTGAATCTCAGACCTGAACATTACCCTTAGTTTAAAATTGCCTTTAGTTCTTAATTATGTATGTGTATATGTGTGTGCCTGAGTGTGTATGATTAACCCTTTGGTCTTCTGGTGAAACCTCTGGACCACTTCTCCAAATAATATTTGTCAGTGTATAAATAGTATACATATGATTACAAAGAAACTCAAGTATACTGAAATGATGTTATCAAAGTATTAAGGAAACAAATTTGTGACAGTAATATATATGTTTCTTAAAAATTTTTAATGTTTATTTTTGAGAGACAGAGATAGAGCATGAGTGGGAGAGGGGCAGAGAGAGGGAGACACAGAATCCAGAATGGGCGCTGGGCTCTGAGCTGTCAGCACAGAGCCTGAAGCAGGGCTTGAACACAAACTGTGAGATAATGATCTGGGCTGAAGTTGGATGCTTAACTGACTGAGCCACCCAGGCCCCCCTGTGCTTCTTTAACAATACATTAAATTAGAAGATTTAATAATTACTTTAAGGTAGTAATAGTAATAGTAGTATTTGATATTTCAAGATATTTGTAACAATTGAAATATAAATGAAAATACTCTGACTTTTAGTGGTGACAAATTCACAAGTAATGATACTACTTTATGTTGTTGACTGTATTCATGAGGGAAGAAAATTATAAATTTCAACAAAAGGTTAGTGAAAAATAAAGATAAAAACTTTTTCCCTTTTAAGTTCATGTACCCATAGATTCTATCTCTGGACCTTTGTAGGGTCTAAATCTGTATTCTAGATGGTATCTGCTTTCCCTATAGAGGGATAGGTGTTATTGGGTGAGAAACTAAAAGGAGCAAGATTTATAAGCTTTGAAAATACAGATGAAAATATTTCAGAAATTTTCTCTATTGTAATTTTCTGTTGAAAAACTATTGACACATAAAGTTGAGGTATAGCATAGTTTAACATTTTGTGTTTTTCTCTTTTCCACATATCTTGGTTTTTCCATGTACCCACGCTGGTTCCATCATTTGATGCTTTACTTAACATTTCACTAACACTTTATATTTGCCTGGTGTTCTAATATAATTTTTGCCTCTCAAATGTTAGTTTTGAGTAAGGATGTAAAAAGTACTTTTTAAAAAGTAGAAATCTAGTTCTTTAAGTGGAGTAATTGAAGAGATGGAGTTAGATTCTTTCCTTGGCCTTGATTAGAAGACTCTATATTATTTATCAACTAATGAAAACAATCAAGTTTTTTTTTCTTTTTTGTTTTTAATAGTTTATTGTCAAGTTTGTTTCCATATAACATCCAGTACTCATCCCCACAAGTGCCTTCCTCCATGCCCATCACCCCCCTTCCCCTCTCCCCTACCTCCATCAGCCCTCAGTTTGTTCTTGGCATTCAAGAGTCTCTCATGGTTTGCCTCCCTCCTTCTCCCCCACTATTTTCCCCCTTCTTCTCCCCCACGGTCTTCTGTTAAGTTCCTCCTAATCCTCCTATATGTGCAAACATATGGTATCTGTNATCACACCCTCAAGGTCCATCCATGTTGCTACACATGGCCAGATTTCATTCTTTCTCATTGCCATGTAGTATCCCATTGTATAGATCAACCACATCTTCTTGATCCATTCGTCCGTTGATGGACACTTAGGATCGTTCCATGTCTTGGCTATTATTGAGAGTGCTGCTATGACCATTGGAGTATATGTGCTCCTGTGCATCAGCACTCCTGTATCCCTTGGGTAAATTCCTAGCAGTGCTATTGCTGGGTCATAGGGGAGTTCTACTGTTAATTTTGTGAGGAACCTCCACACTGTTTTCCAGAGGGGCTGCACCAGTTTACATTCCCACCCACAGTGTAGGAGGGTGCCCGTTTCTCCACATCCTCGCCAGCATCTGGAGTCCTCTGATTTGCTCATTTTAGCCGCTCTGACTGGCGTGAGGTGGTATCTCAGTGTGGTTTTGATTTGTATTTCCCTGATGAGGAGGGATGCTGAGCATCATTTCATGTGTCTGTGGGCCATCTGGATATTCTCTTTGGAGAAGTGTCCCACTAATAGTGTAGGAGGGTGCCCGTTTCTCCGCATCCTCACCAGCATCTAACAGTCTGGATTTTGATCCACCTAGTTTCATGAAATGATTGTGTGCATGTATGTGTGTGTATGTATGTATGTATGTATGTATTTATTTATTTATTTAGTTTTACCAGCTAAGCCTGAGAACATTTCCTGTGTCTTCTACTATGAGGAGAATTTTACTTGCACCTGGAGTCCAGAGAAGGAAGCTGGTTATACATGGTATAAAGTGAAGAGAACTTAGTAAGTATTGGAGCTTGTGTGCTGTCAGTGGGCGTAAGGGAAGGAGGCAGAGGCTCCTGGTTCACTCACGATTCAAGTCATCTTTGAGGTGAAATGCCCTCCCCATTACAGCTTCTGGGTGATTCCCATAAGCCTTTAGTGGCTGGGCGGTACCTCGGCAGCTTGCAGCCATCTGATAGAAGCTGCAGCTGCATGATGGCCGCTTCTCAGAGGCACGGGATTGGTTCAGAGCAGTCACCAGTTAGAAGCAGAGTGGAAAAATCCATTTATTTACTATGGTCAGCTATGTTTTCCCTCTTTCCAGAATGTGTCATAAAACTATTCCTTTTTCATGGATATAATTATAATAAGTAGCACTATACACCCAGAACTAAGAGGCACATTTGCACTAATTTGCTGTGATCCCTGTTAAACAGTATTAAGTAGGACAGTGCTTCCCCAATTTCTCACTACCTCAAGCATCCCTTTTTATCCTGATCCTGTTAGAATAAAAATTATAATATTTTTATTATAATTCTAGTCAAAAGCTAGATGTTTTAACAAGTATATGCAGGGATTTTTTTTTTTTTTGAAATTTTGAAAATAGTTAATGAAACCCTTTATGTCCTTCATGTTCCCCTAAGAATAAGGAAGCCTATGTTGGGAAATACTGAAAGGTGATCTTTAAGTCTTTTCCATTCCAAAAAGGTGGTCTGTAGTTAGTTCCAAGTTTTTGTTTTGTTTTGTTTTTAAATACAAGATCTCATTTATACTCCTTTTTCACTGAACTCATTGGAAATTGGTAACTAGTGTTGTAGGGAAAGTCCATTTCATACTTTACAGTAGAAGAAATGGGAAAAAAACCAAACACTGTTCTTTGCAGTACTCATATATCAGTGAGTATGTCAGAGAGATGATTTAAAACAGAGGTCAGCAAACTTTTTCTCTTAAGGGACAGGTAGTAAATATTTTAGGCTTAGAGAGGGACGTGTCTCTGTCAAACTGTTCAACACTACTGCTGTAGCAGGAAAGCTGCTATGGACAATATGTAAATCAATAGACCTCACTATTGTCCGGTATAACCTTATTTATGGACCCTGAAATTTGAATTTCATACACTTTTCACATGCCACAAAGTATTTTTCTTTTTATATATTTTCCCTAACCATTTAACAATGTAAAACCTGTTCTTAGCCTATGGGCCAATCAAGAATAGGAGGTGGGCTATATTTGGCCTGTAGGCCTAGTTTTCTGAGCCCTGCTTCTGAAAATAAGAATGATAAAGGCCCAATAATCCATGGTTCAAATGACTTATCTTCTCCCAGACTGTGGTTCTAGGCCTAGTGTTGAATAGAAAGTATCAGTAGAATGAAAATTTAGAAACCTCAATAAATTTTTTTTTGTCGTAAGGAGTCACTTCCCCCCACCTCCTTCCGTCACTCCCTATGGATTGTCATTATGTTCACTAGCTGGTTATGGAGGAGGAGGAAATGCCTGAGTGTCCTGAGGCCTCTGTAAAGCCTCTGTCCTTGGTGTCAGGCTTGTTGGGCTCTCCAAGATTCCCAGACTGCCTTGTACCTTTTTAAGTTTATCACCAAGAGTCTCTCTTCCAGGTGGAATGGGAAGGTTTCTTGTGGGTGGTCAACTCTGAGAGTGGATGATGGTGGGTCAGTGGTGTGAATAAAAAACCTTACTGATGCTCAGAAATGATAGGAATGGATTTTTCCCTGGGGAAGAATCAGAAGAGTTGGGATGCCTCTATGGAGGTAGTGACTTTTGAACTGAGATGTAAAGGAGCATTAAAGATTCAGGGAAGGGATGAAAAGGGTATGTCTCCAAGGTTACAGTATGAATAAATGCAAAAATATTCAACTACAGTAATAGTACTAATAACAATGATAGTAACAATTTACCTTTAGAATAAGTGGCTGACATTTTAAAAGCACTTTATGTATATTAGCTCATTTCATCTTCATAACAGTGCTACACTATAGGTATAGTACTACTCTCATTTTAGAGATAGGGAAACTCACGCAAGGAGAGGTTGGGAAACTTGCTCAAGGCACAGGATTCAAACCTGATCTGCTTCCATAGTTTGTGCTTGTAACCATGACTCAACATTACTCTGGAGGCCATTTTTTGCATTGCACAACTATAGAAAAACTTTAAAGTCCTTTTTACTTTCAAAATTCCATGATTCTATACATCCAAGCTCTGATTTTTTTGCTCCCAGCCCCAGCTAACATTGGCACTTTGTGAAGTGGGGCTTTTTATGTTCTTTGCTGACTTCAACTCCTACGTAACCCCTAGAGCTGTGGGACTATAGCTATACTTACCCATCTGATTCCTATCAGTCTTTGTACTTGCCTTCATTAAGTTATAGTCTGGTAGGATTTAAATTATCTAGGAAAGTAATTTTAATAGTTTTTTGAAAACAGTATATGCCAATATTAAAAAAATGCAATCTGGAAAATAGAAAGAATAAAAAAAAATCGCTTGACATTTCATCACCAAAGGTAGCAACTTTACATTTTGCTGAAGACCTGTCCACACATCTGTAAGAATAGTTATATAAATATATAAATTTATATAAATTTGGTTATTCTGTATATAATGTGCATCTTTTTTACCACCAATAGAGTATGGGCATCTTTCCATATCAATAACTATAGATGTATTAAAAACTATTTTAAATTCTACTTAGGTATCTACCATACTTTATTTAATAAATCCTCTTTGATTTTAATTTTCTTTTTAGAATAACTTCTCAAGACTAGAATTTGGGGTTTTCAGGGGCCTATTCAGCATTTCTTACCAATAGGAAATGCATTATAAGTCTAGTTTTTGATGGATGTATAGAGTTTCAAGGAAGTTGCCATGAGTCATTGCATCTCAGACAAGAAGAGGGTAACTTTGAACCCTCTTTGGAAGTGATGAGGAAGGAATTTGGAGAGGAGCCCCCTATTCTGAATGATCGAGTCCTCACGAGACATCCTGAGTGAAACTAATACATACATGCTTAATATATTAAGTATGTCTTTGTTTCCAAACTGCTGTACTGAACTCATGTTGAATTGCTTTTTCCTTCAAAGCTCTTATGGATATAAAAGTGATATTTGTCTAAATGATAATTCTACAAGAGCAAATCATGCTTCTTGCTCCTTTCTTCCTCCAACAATAACAAACCCAGATAATTACACCATTCAAGTGGAAGCTCAAAATGCAGATGGTATAATAAAATCTGATATAACACATTGGAGCTTAGATGCCATAAGTGAGTATCATTTTTTATTCTTATATACTCTTTTATTAAAAGACACCTCCTTTTTTTTTCTTGAAAGAGATACACAAAAGTAGACTCAAAGCTCAAGGGTATAATACATATGTGTTATGAATATACAAGGGTTTTGGGTATGCATAATGTTTCCTTATTCTCCATATCTTTATCAGTGCTTAGTGTTTGTTGTCTTTTTGATACTAGCCATTCTGACTGGTATGAGGTGATGTCTCATTGTAGTTTTTCTCTGATTATTAGTGATGTTGAACATCTCTACATGTATTTCTTAGCTATCTATTTGTCTTTGGAAAATGTCTATTCAGGTCCTCTGCCCATTTTTAAGTTCATATTGTGATTTTCCTCATGTTAAATTGTATGAGTTCTTTCTATATTTTGGATTTTAACCCCTTATTGAATATGTTATTTGCAGATAACTTTTCCCATTCAGTAAATTTCCTTTTAATTTTGCTTATGATTTCCTTTATTGTGCAAAAGCTTTTTATTTTGATGAGGTCCCAATAGTGTATTTTTGCTTTTGTTTTATTTGCCTGAGGAGACCTATCCAGAAAAATGTTGCTAAGGCTGATGTCCAAGAGATTGCTGGCTATATTTTCTTTAGGAGTTTTATGGTTTCAGGTATCACATTTAAGTTTTTAATCCATTTTGAGTTATTTTTGTACCTGGTATGAGGAACTGGTTCAGTTTCATTCTTTTACATATAGCCATCACATTTTCTCAACATCATTTATTGAAAAGACTGTTTTATCCCCAATGCATATTCTTGCCTCCTGTGTCTTATATTAATTGATGATATAAGTTTGTGTTTATTTCTGGACTCTTAATCCTGTTCCACTGATCTCTGTGTCTTTTTTATGTCAGCACTGTACTGCTTTGTTTGCTGTCCTTTATAATATATATAGTTTGAAATCTTGGATTGTGATACCTTCAGCTTTATTTTTGTTTCTCAAGATTGCTTTCATTATTTGGGGTCTTTTGTGGTTCCATATACATTTTAGTATTTTTTTTTAATAATTCTGTGGAAAATGCTGTTGTTATTTTGATAGAGATTGTACTGAATCTGTAAATTGCTTTGGGTAGTGTAGACATTTAAAAATTTTTAATTCTTCCAATCCATGAGCATGGTTTATCTTCTCATTTGTTTGTGTTGTCTTCAATTTCTTTCATTAATGTCTTGCAGTTTTCAGAGTGCAGGTCTTCCTTGTTTAAATTTATTCCTAGGCATTTTATTCTTCTTGATGCAAGTGTAAGTGGTATTGTTTTCTTAATTTCCATTTCTCCTCCTTCATTACTCATGTGTAGAAATGCACAGATTTCTGTACATTAATTTTATATCCTGCAGCCTTATTAAAGTTATTGTTTGGAAGAATTTTTAATGCAAGCAGATATATGAGTTGCCCTGTGTTTTTATTTAAAAAGATGAAAGTTTTATTTATCATAATAGTACATTTACTTAAAAAATATACAAATACTTACATAGAAAAATGCCTGGAAATATACCAGAATGTCATAATGGCTATCTCTGGGGTTGATGGCATTATGGATGATTTAAACTTTTTCTTTGTCTTTTTTATATTAAAAAGAGTTTTTAGAATGAGCATATGCTACTTTTAAAACCAGGAAAAAATTATGTATCTTCAGAGAGAGACTTAGGGTGAGAATGTGTGTAGTATACAAGGGAAATGAGAGATCCTTTCAACTGGACACTACTGGGGGTCAAGGAAAGAGAGGTTGAGGGGAGTGGAGAGTACATAAGATAAATGGCCCATTTTCTGGTTGTATAGTCTCTTCTTACCTTCTTTCTTCTTGGCATATAATCTGACCCAATCAGTAAAACGTGAATTTGCAGAAAAATCATAGGAATGTACCCTTTCCTCATTAGCCATTCCTTTTTTTGTTGGCGGTAGGGGGGTGGGAGGAGTGTGGATGGCAGCATTCTTTTTTCTCTGCCTTCCTAATGTCATCTGCAAATAGCAGATTACAAAATAGGCACTTTCATTTCCTTTCTACTTCTCTTTTTTTAAATTTATTTTTATTTTTAGTGTTTATTATTTATTTTTGAGAGAGAGAAAGAGCATGAGTTGGGGAGGAGCATAGAGAGGGAGACACAGAATCTGAAGCAGGCTCTGGGCTCGGAGCTGTCATCCTAGAGCCCCATGCAGTCTCTCGAACCTGCAAACCACAGGATAATGACCTGAGCCAAAGTCGGACGATTAACCGACTGAACCACCTAGGCACCCCTCTACTTTCACTTTTTCTGATTTTAGGTGGATGCTATTAGCACCTTCTGATCTTTTTACAAATGTGAGAAATTGATGATTTTTATTTTCAGCGAAAATGGAACCACCTGAGATTTTCAGTGTGAAACCACTTTTGGGCATCAAACGAATGGTTCAAATAAAATGGATAAGGCCTGTGTTGGCTCCTGTTTCATCTGCTTTAAAATACACACTTCGATTCAGAACAGTAAATAGTGCCTACTGGGTAAGTTATCCCATTACAATGTTTCTATTAGAGGGCCCAAAGAAGAGAATGATTGGTAACTTTTTTTTTGACTGGGAGTAATTTGTTTTCAATTTTCTACCTTAAAAATAGAAGGCAAAGAATAGTAAGTACTTTTCTTCCTATTTTCCCATTTGGAACCTTTAGATTGGACAAGTATTTCACTATAGGCATCTTGCATTCGAAACACAGGGGCATATTAAAGAGTGAGAAATTGACTTTTGCATTCCACTATGGTTTGTGTATAGCTGTGTTGGTGGCTAGAGATTCTGTGGCTTGTCCATTTCCTTTTTTTTTTTCCTAACTGTTTATGAGATTGTAACATATAACTTGTATTTAGAAAAATGAACAAACCATAGCTATTGCATTTAATAAATTATTGTTAAGTCAGCACTCATGTTAAAACCAGTGAGGTCAAAGAAAAGAATGCTAAGGTCCCCTGCTTATCCTTTCCTGATGAGACCTCCACACTGCCTTAGAGCTGTTATCTTGATTTTCACAGTAAATACTTCTTTGCTTTTTATTATGAGTTTACCGTTTAAACCTGCATCTCTGCACAACACAGTTTGAGACATTATGTAATAGAAATCCATACATTTTGTATTTTTAAAAAAATATTTGGCTTCTTTCAATATTTTACTTTTAAGATTCTTCTATGTGTTATGTAATGCTGGAATTTATTTAGATGAACACAATGGAGTCCTGGCTTTAATTTGCATTTACCTGACTTTTAATAAGGTTGTAAACCTTTTCATGTGTTTTTTTGATTATTTATTTGGAGTCCTTCTTTGTAAAGTGTTGATTTAAGACTTGTGCACATTTTTTTTTATAGTGGGTGGTTTGAATATTAAATTGACTTGTAGGAGTTTCTTACAAATTTTATTTGAGTTTTTTTAATCTGTTACGTGTGTTGCAGACATTTCTCACTATGTGGTTTGCCTTTCACTGTCTTAATGGTGACTTTGGAGGAGCGTACCTTCTTAATTTTTAACATTATCAAATGTTATCAATCTTTTCTTTCACACTTAAAGTCTTTTTTATGTTATGAAAACTTTTTTCACCTCAGGGTTCAGAGAATATTCTCCCTTTCCATCATTGCAACCTTAAATTATACCAACTTTTTTTTTTGTAACCACTATATATACATTTTTAATGTTTGTTTATTTTTGAAAGAGAGGGAGAGAGAGTGGGAGTGTGACTGGGGGAGGGACAGAGAAGGAGACACAGAGTCCGAAACAGGCTTCAGGCTTTGAACTGACAGCACACAGTCAGATGGGGGCTTGAATCCACGAATCACGAGATCATGACGCAAGCCAAAGTTGGATACTTAACCAACTAGGCCATCCAGGTGCCCCTGTAACCACTATATCAATATCGTTGACTCTTAGTCAGCTCCTAGCCAATTAAATCAGTTAAATCTTTAATACTTATTCCCCCACACAAAATTTTCTAGTAAAGCACATGTCCACTATCTTAAAATTTGTTGGTTTTTAAGGGAAGTGGAGGTGTTTTATTTATTTCTGTTGTATTTCTTCATGTTGCTGTTACCCAGCATTTTGGCCCAAATTCCTTAATTCTATCACCAAAAACTTTTCTCTTTCTGACTTTTTAGTATCGTAGGATTTGATAACTCTTAACTCTGTACCTTTATCGAATCATTAATAAAAATAGTGACTTTGTCAGAGCCCTGTAATAAACCATTAAAGACTATTCAGAGACTTGAACCTTTTTTTTCTTTGACTGTGATCATTTACTAGGCTTCTGTGAATATACCTAATTACTATCATAATCATTCACCCTACTCTTTCTGTCTTGTTCATCTATTTCCTTTGCTGAAATTCATAGATACTTTTATCTATTGTGTCCTCTCCTAATTTATGTCTTTAAGAAAAGAAAGTTGGTAAAGTTTCACTTATTATGTGTTTAAGACAAGAGAGGGCACTTGTTGGGATGAGCACTGAGGGTTATATGGAATCCAACTTGACAATAAACTATGAAAGAAAAAACAAACAAAAATAAAACCTAATTACTCCAAAAAAAGAGAGAAAGTTTTCTAAAAGCTGCACACACACAAAAGAAAGCTTATATTTCAGACCATGCAGAAAAATAAAAGAATGTGTCAAAAAAAAAAGACAAGAAATAATGATGTCCACTCTTTCTCTCAGCTAACCATTCTCCTAGTACCTGACTACATGTACCACAAGGTTCATTAATTTATATTTCTGGAACCCAGAAAAGAACCCCTAAGCAAGGCAGCTCCTGACACAACATAAGTTCTTCTTCCTTCATACCACCAGTTATGGTCTAAGTAAATGTGAGGAATTGCTAGGAAGTAGTGCTGTCTAGCATCCCTTGATTTATCCTGTTTGTCTGAGCCCAGAGCCTTGTGGCTGCTGAGATAGAATTCAATAAGAAAAATAAACCAGGATCTCTGTTCCTCTGGAAAATGAGTAAGCCATGTAGAACACTACATGAGGGAAGTAGGTGTAAACTACCCCAGACTTCAGCATCCTGTACCCCACCTCTTTGACAAACTCACCTACATCTGCACTCACCTCTGCTTTATTCCTTCCAGTCCTTGAGTAAGAGGTCCTTTCTCCTGCTCTGCTGAAGGAAATCAGAAGGAAAGTGGAAAGTGGTCAGTATCTCTCTCCTTTCAGCATTCAAATGCAATCATTTCTAAACCCAATTATACCAACCCAACTTTTCTATGGAAAAAGGTCCAAATCCTTAATCCTCCAAAACCTGGACCCTATCAAGCCCTCCAACTTCATTTTTCACCCTGCCCTTGCCTTTCTACTACTAGTTCTGGATTTCTACTTTCCCTTGCGTCATGTTGTTTCACTATTCTGTGTCTTTGCTTTTGTACCTCTACTCCCTCGCCCAACTTTGCAAAACCCATTCATGTCTTGGAACTCAGTTCTGATATATTTCCTTCTGAGAACCTGAGCTAGGTGTTCCTCCTCCGTCACCACACTTAACACTCAACACCAGTCATTTAAAGTCTTCTCTCCCTGCATTAGAATGTATAAAAAAAAAAATCCCAATATGTCCGTATAGCAAGATTTATGTTTGTATGATTCTATATGAGTTGCAAAGTGCTTTCTTAATACTCCAGACTAAATAATCTTTGCATATATCTTATAAATAAGGCATTGCTATTCTTACTTTTACAGAATAGGAAATTATGATGTACAGAGCTTAAATCATCTGTCCAAGATCCCAGGGTTTGTAAGTTGCAAACCTGATGCCAAGGTTTCTGACTCCCACATTGCCACTCATTTGATCATATTTTAGTAACCTCCAGACCTTCTTCCTGTTGCCAAGCCTAAGGAGTTTCCACCTTTATAAAATGGAGCTATGTGAGCCCTCTGCCAAAGGATTGCAAGAATGTTGTAAAAGTTTGATTTAGGTTTTGCATCAACACTTGTGATTCATCTTTTAAAATCAAACACTTTGGGTGAGCTAGGATTTGGCACAAAGTGTAGATTGTTAGAGATAAACCTGAGGAAGTTAATTAGTGTTTTGTAGGAGTCCTTTGTGTTGAGCTGGGGAGGGCTTAGTTAAGTCTATATATGGAAAATAAGTTGGTCCTGGACCCTGTGAGGGCCACAGGTTGCCTGGACAAAAAAACAAATTAAAAGAAGGCTTTAAGGCAGATACACAATTTGAAAGACAGAACAGGTTTGTTTGTTTTTTTCTTCTCCCTGTGGGAATAGTGCTGAAAAGAACATGCTTGGCTAGTTAAATTAGGCAGAGCTTTCTGAACATGAATGTGAGGAGTCCCAGCATGTAGACCAAGCATGCGCTTGAGGGTACTAGCAAGGCAGGAAGAAAATTTTGAAAGATTGTTTTTTTTTAAATTTTTTAAAAATTTATTTCTAGGAAAGAGAGAGAGCGTGAGCAGAGGAGGGTCAGAGAGAGAGGGAGATACAGACTCCGAAATAGGCTCCAGGCTCTGAGCTGGCAGTCAGCACAGAGCCGGACGCGGGGCTCAAACCCACGAACCATGAGATCATGACCTAAGCGAAAGTCGGACTCTTAACCGACTAAGCCACCCAGGTGCCCCTGAAAGATTGTTTTAAAAGAATATTACATACTTAACATAAAAAGAAAACAAAACTTTATTAGACTTCTTTAAGAATTAATAAAGATTTTATTTTGATTTGTGTATGGAAGTTACCATGTAGTTGTCTGTCTTTTAAAGGTCTTAGTATGGCCCCAACTGAGCCCCATAACTAAGCTCAATTGGGGGGCTACTTTCTTCGAAATGTGGACTTGTCCCAGTGACTCTGTTCTGCCATTGCAACATCTCCAGGGACTGTTAGAGGAAGGCACTCAAGGAACTTGGGATTCAGCAGTGAAACTGCCCTCACGTCTGGTTCCTACATACGTTTCCCAGCACCATGTTACTAGGCTCGGAGTTCAGAAGTTTCCATCTCTGGCTGGGATGCTCAGCTTTTTGCCACATACATATGTTCTCATTTTGTTCGATTTCCTTTAGGCCCAAGACCTGTAGTTATGTAGTTATTTTCACAGCTGATATATACACATACGAAATACCAAGACTTTCTTCTCTCACGAGGTCTTATGGGACTAGCGTGCATACTCACAAAATACACATGTCTATTAGTGCATTTTATTAACCAACTCAGTATAAGTTCATATAAACAGCTAAAAGTTCATATTGCAACAACAGTGACTATGCTCAAAAATAAATAGCTGATTTTTAGTGTCTCTTGGAGAGTTGGGTCCAAGAGAGACTTTAGAGATTATATAAATCAATTTACTCATTTTACTAATGAGAAAACTGAAGTCTAGAAAGGAGGATTGATTCATTTACCTCTCCCCCTCCACTCCCTCACAGAATGTCAAAATGAATTTATGCATGCAGGCTGCTGAGATCCTTAGCAGCCCTACTGGTTAGCCAAAGAGCAGTAATTTGCAGTGGAAGATCTGGGTAAAGGGGAAGCATGTAGGAGTTAGGAATGTTGTATTCTGATCCCAGTTCTGACCATAACAAACACTGAGGTAGTACAGACGCTTAACTTTTGGACTCTTGTTCATGACATGAGGTTGAACTTAATGCCACTAAGGTCTCTGTTACCTACTATTCTATGAGGCCTTATATCTAGGTAATAGAGTCACCTGCAGTGTTTACACTGAGGCCCAGGTTGCCCCAGGTCCCATGACTCCACCTTGTGTTTTCCAGAAAAAGACTCTGCACACTCACATCAGCCCAGAGCAGCATTAATCTCTGCCTTACAAGCTTAGAGACAGGAAATGGGGGTGGAGGGGTGGTTCACAGGGTAACTCACACCTATTTAGGTGCAGGTGATCCCCAGGCACATGTGAGGTTTATTTATGAAAATCATATTTTCTGAAACCTGAGCTACAATGCTACATGTTCTAAAAAGGTAAGAGAGAGTTGGGGCATGAAGAAGAAAGATGGAAAGCCAACAGGTGATCTCCTATGCAGCTCAGAGTCATCTTTGTCTTTTAGATGGAAGTCAACTTCACCAAAGAGGATATTGATAGAGATGAAACCTACAATCTCACAGGGCTGCAGGCTTTTACAGTGTATGTCATAGCTCTGCGATGTACCACTAAGGAGTCCATGTTCTGGAGTGCTTGGAGCCAAGAAAAAATGGGAACAACTGAGGAAGAAGGCAAGTTGGTCCCTGGAAATTCCTTTTCTGCTTGCCCTGGTTTAAGGTAGCCTGGGTCTAACCTTAGTGGGTTTTGTCAAGTGTTGTTGTACTTGGGAGTTAAGGAATCTCACAGCCCTAGAGTGTAGAGAATTTATACATTCTCTCTCTACAAGGCACTCAACCGAGCCCACAGGACAAGCCAGCCCACCTCAGATAGTCTGAGTTAGCAGCTTTTTGCCCTAAAGACAAAAGATCACATCTTTACTACTCTTATTAAGTTCTTACACTGTAAATGAAGTGGCATAATACTCTTTAAAGGTGTCCTATGATAAATTAAAGATATATATTGTAAACCATGCACCTACCACTAAAAAATTAAAAAAAGGTGTAATTATTGAGGGGGGGAAAGGTTAGATTCTTAATGACAGTGAGAAAGAGAAAGGGACTGTAAAGTGATTGAGTGTTTACAATGAGTCAGGATGGTCATTCAGAACAGTACTTTAAATCTATGGGCATGGCTGAGATTGCAGCTTGGCTGTTAAGTGATTTGGGGCTAGATTCCTAACCTCTAAACCTCATTTTTCTCACTATTTAGTCCCCCTTTCCATAATAGAATGTCATTTATCTAATCGAGTTAAATGTAGTACCTATATTTTAGTGTTATTTTAAAAATGAAATAATATATTTAGCTCACAGTAAACATTCAATAAATGCCAGGTTTTCTACTATTTTTATTAATCCTTCTAAGACTCCTATAAAATATATGGAATCACCTCCATTTGAAAGTGAAGGAGCTGAGTTTGAGAAATATTAGTAAATTGCTTAAGTTTACTTATCATGTGTTACCCTTCTTTACAAATTAAGACTCTTGCCCAGTACCTGTTCTGCAGTAGATAGTCAATAAATGTTTGATGAATGTATCAGTTTCCTTTGGCCACTATAACAAAGTATCACAAATTTAGTGACTTATAACAACACAATTTTTTCTCTTATAGTTCTGGAAGTCAGAGGTCCAGAATCAGTTTTACTAGAGTCGAGTCAAGGCGTGGGCAGGGTTGTTTCCTTTTGGAGACTCTGAAAGTAGAATATGGTTTCCCTTTTTTTTTTTTTTTTTTTTTTACCTTTTCCAGCTTCTCATGGTAGCCTATATTCCTTGGCTGATGGTCCCTTCCCTCATATACCAAACATCACTCTAATTTCTGCTTCCATCATTACATTACTTTTTTCTCCTCTTTGTCAGATCTGTGCCTCACTCTTATAAAGACCTTTGTGAAACATTTAGGGCCAACCCAAGTAATGCAGGATAATCTTCCCAACTCAAGATCCCAACGTAATCACATCTGAAAGGTCCTTTGGCCATATAAGGTAACATTTACAAACTGCAGGGGTTAGGATTTAGGTCTTTGGGGCCCTTTTTTTAGTCTACCACAGTGAATGATGAATGAAAGAATGAATGACTAGATGAATATTTGTGATGTTCACATATCTTCTTTTGAAATAAATCCAAAATGCCTATCCTTCTAAAACCTTCAGAGGCTTTACTCTCATTTGTTTTTGTAAGACACATGGGTTCTAGATGCTAAGTTTCCCACAACCACATACCTGGCCATAATTCAGGCCCTTCTTACTCACTTTTACAGCCAAGTACCACACTGATCTCAGATAATATCGTGCCCGATTCGCGAGTCCCCAGCGACCACCAAGGAGCCGACACTGATGCAAGTACAAAAGGGTCTTTATTACAAGCTCGAACAGGGGCTCACCCGTCTACCGGTGTAGTGGCAGCAAGGTGAAGCCCCGAACAATAGTGAGCAGGGTTTTTATGGGGTAATGGACGGGGATGTTACAGTGCACATGTACGTATGACATCATTACATAAGCTCTAATTACAATTGTACAGCATCCAAGGTAATAGTTTTGACTATTCAGTATCTGTGAGGTGTCCATTACTTTTGGCGGGGACCCAATCATGACCTTTGAGTATCTTTTGAAAATGACTAATTATGAGGTGAGCTCAAAGGGCCTATGTAGGGTTTAGGCAAGTGGTGAGTAATTGGTTAATTTGTCTGCAGTTCCCAGCCTTGACTCAGACCACAGAAATGTTTAGCTGATCTGAGAGTGGTCTGAGGGTGGCTTTAGCCTTGAACAATCTGAGGCTTTTTCTGGAACAGGGGCTACATGTAGCCCGAGGTTGCTCTTAATGGAGGCCTTAATCTCAAAATGACATTACTTAGGCTCTTCAATAACATCTACAGTCAATTTCTGTGCTCCATGGTTCATATGACAGCAATTTATTCCTGTGGAACTTGGTTGAGTTTACTATGAGACCAAGTTGGGATTAATAGGTGTTTAGCACATTCACAGGTATGGTCAGATGTCTGGAAATAATCCAATATTCTGAATTTCATAGCCCCAACTGGAGATGTTCATGCTTAGTCTGAACTACCCCTTGGTGGATATGGTTACACAACAGAGGTTCATGCAGCACATGGGAAATTGTACTAGATGACTTCTGAAAGTTCTTGTCACCCTAAGATTCCATTCTTCTATGCCATTCAGGCATCTAGTCTTCTAGCTAGGCTGTAGCAGTTCAAGAAAAAGTCATAGAAAACCCCAAGTCATATGTCTTTAAGTAATTAGAACAGTGCCTTACAAATGGTTAGGGCTCTATAAATTCTACATAAATAACAACACAGATACAACTAAACAAAACTAGTGTTATTGCTGGGTCCTAGGGTAGTTGTATTTGTTAATTTTTTGAGGACCCTCCATATTGTTTTCCAGAGGGGTTGCACCAGCTTACATTCCCACCAACAGTTTGCGAGGGTGCCCATTTCTCCACATCCTCACCAGCGTCTAGAGTCCTCTGATTTCCTCATTTTAGCCACTCTGACTGGCGTGAGGTGGTATCTCAGTGTGGTTTTGATTTGTATTTCCCTGATGTTGAGGGACGTGGAGCATTGTTTCATGTGTCTGTTTACTATCTGGATGTCCTCTTTGGAGAAGTGTCTGTTCATGTCTTCTGCCCATGTCTTCACTGAATTATTTGTTTTTCGGGTGTGGAGTTTGGTGAGTTCCTTATAGATTTTCTATACTAGCCCTTTATCTGATATGTCATTTGCAACTATCTTTTCCTATTCCATCGGTTGCCTATTAGTTTTATGGATTGTTCCCTTTGTGGTGCAGAAAGCTTTTAACCTTGATGAGGTCCCAATAGTTCATTTTTGCTCTTGATTCCTTTGCCTTTGGGGATGTCAAGTAAGAAATTACTGCGGTTGAGGTCACCAACTCTTGGTTTCATTGCTCTGTTCAACTGTTCTTTTGGATTCAGTATTGTTTATTTCTGCCCTGATTTTTATTATTTCTCCTCTTCTACTGGGTTTGAGGTGCTCTTGTTGCTCTCCTTTTTAGTTCCTTTAGGTGCGCTGTTAGATTTTGTATTTGTGCTTTTTCTAATTTCTTGAAAAAGGCCTGGAGTGCAATGTACTTTCCTCCTAGAACTGATTTTGCTGCATCCCATAGAGTTTGGATTGTTGTATTTTCATTTTCATTGGTTTCGATATACTTTTTAATTTCTTCTCTAATTGCCTGATTGGCCCATTCATTCTGTAGTAGAGTGTTCTTTAACCTCCATGTTTTTGGAGGTTTTCCAGACTTTTTCCTATGATTGATTTCATAGCATTGTGATCTGAGAGTGTACATGGTATGATTTTAATTCTTTTATATTTATTGAGGGCTGCTTTATGACCCAGTATGTGATGGATCTTAGAGAACGTGCCATGTACATTTCAGAAGAAAGTGAATTCCATAGCATAAAGATGTAGAGTTCTAAATATATCTGTCAAATCCATCTGGTCCAATGTGTCATTCAAGTCCATTGTTTCTTTAGTGATTTTCTATCTAGCTGATCTATCTATTGCTGTCAGTGGAGTATTGAAGTCCCCTGCTATTAGCACATTCTTGTCCATAAGATTATTTCTGTTTGTGATTAATTGTTTTATGTATTTGGGTGCTTCCATATTCGGCGCATCCACATTTATAATTGTTAGCTCTTCCTGATGGATAGACCTTGTAATTACTATATAATACTCTTCTCTATCCCTTGTTACTGCCTTTACTTTAAAGTCCAGTTTGTCTGATATAAGTATAGCTACTCCAGCTTTCTTTTGACTTCCAGTAGCATGATAGATATTTCTCCATCCCCTTACTTTCAATCTGAAGGTGTTTTCAGGCCTAAAATGAGTCTCTTGTAGACAGCAAATAGATGGATTTTGGTTTTTTATCCATTCTGCTACCCTGTGTCTTTTTTATTGGAGCATTTAGTCGATGTACATTCAGTGTTATTATTGAAAAATAAGGGTTTAGAGTCATTGTGTTCTTTGTAGGATTCATGCTTGTGGTGGTGTCTCTGATACCTTAAATTCCTTGCCACATTTCCTTCATAGAATCCCCCTCAGGATTTCTTGTAGGGCTGGTTTAGTGGTGATGAATCCTTTTAATTTTTGTTTATTTGGGAAGACTTTTAGATCTCCTTCTATTCTGAATAGAATCCAGGCTTGCTGGATAGAAGATTCTTGGCTGCATATTTTTTCTGTTTATCACATTGAAGATTTCCTGCCATTCCTTTCTGGCTTGCCAAATTTCAGTAGATAGTTCTGTAAGTACTCTGGTAGGTCTCCCTTTGTATGTTAGGGCCCTTTTATCCCTAGCTGCAAAGCTAAAAAACTTAAACTGTGTTGCTTGGATTATGTTATTCCCTGCAGAAATGTATGAATCAGGTTTAACATTGTGCCCTTGCATTTTATAGAAGATAAACATGAGAAAGGTACACTTGCCATATTTCTGTACTTTTGCTCAACTGTGATTGCAGACTTTGGCCTTTATGTTACCCTGTGTCTTTTTGAGAGGATCCATATGATAAATTCCATTTATTGAATATCCATAATCAGAAAGAGTCACCCCTTCATATGTTTACTTTTTATCAGGCTATGAGAAATATGCAATTCAATCTGCATGTCTTTTTTTCCTTTTTCTGCCATGAAGATCAGCATTCAATTTAAAGCTCAAGGGAATGATCTAGTAAAGATTATTTCTCTGTCCCTTTCTTCTTCAGTTTTTTCTTAGATTTTATAACATTTTAAGTATACAGTTTCATCCTTTCTAGGAGTATATCTTTCATTCTCTCTGTCTCACCCCCACATTCATTTAGTATATATAATAGTATATATAATATAATATATCTCTATATCTGTCACATTTAAAAATATTTTTAAAACATTTATTGATTTTGAGAGAGACAGAGACAGTGGTTGGGGGGGGGGAGAGAGAGAAACAGAGAATCCCAAGGAGGCTCCACTTTGCCAGTGCAGAGACTGATGTGGGGCTCTAACTCAAGAGACTGTGAGTTCATGACTTGAGCTGAACAAGAGTTAGATGCTTAACCGACTGAGCCATCGAGGCACCCCTGTGTATCTATCTTGTCAGTTTGCTGTGTCATTCTCAGCTGTAAGGTATGTTGATGTTCTATATGTGAGAGGATGTGAGGTGTTACATTTCAATCCAGATTTCAATGACAAATAATATTATAATAGGGCCTGTTGTACTTTTCTTTTACCTTACATTAAGTCATCAAATCCAAGAGCAGTTTTAGTTTTTACTTTTGGTTGATTCCAATCCTTTGGCCACAAAATGAAGACATCATTGGTTGTTGCAATGCTGCCATCCCTCCAATGACCACCTTCCTCCTTCTGGCTCCCTCCAGCATATGCTTCCCAACTGCATGTCTGACAGGCAGCCCAGCTAATCTCACCATTTTCTGTTGCAGCTCCCTTCAGTCTTGTGTTGAGCACCTCACTCTTGTTTCCTTACAGCTCCATATGGCTTGGATCTGTGGAGAGTCCTGAGATCCCCCATGGTAGATGGAAGAAGGCTAGTGCGGTTGATGTGGAAGGTGACTTCCTTATGGGTTTTTTTTTTTTTTTTTTTTTTTTGTCTAAAACACTTGGTCTTTTATACCTCCAAGAACTGTAATTCTTGAACTTTTACCTCCTGAATTTCCTTTCCCAGAGATTTTTATAATGCCCCAAATCTCAGTGGTTTCCTAGCTCACAAAGCCTTCTAGGTCATCTTATAGATGGCCTAAATGTGCATTGCAGACTCTGTATCCTCTCTTCCTTGCACTGAAACATTAACATATAAGACAGGTACAAAGTGCTAATACAGGAGGCACCTTGATCTCCTGTGGACACATTAGAAGGCAGTATAAAATTGCATAGTGCCTATCCCCACATTGGAGAGGAGCACTGACTTGGAATCAGCTCACTAATGTGTCCTTAGGTGATTGCAAACATATATTACACATATGTCCCTTTAAAGTCGGGTACACTGGGGTGCAAGGACAGAGCAGGGGCCAAATGGTCCTTCCTAGGATGGAGGCCTGTAATTGAGGAACCAAGGAGAAGGTGGGGGCAGCATGCAGAGAAGAGGAGATGTAAAGAAGAGAAAAGGTAGGAAAAAGGACAGAAAAGGAGGGCAAGAGGGAATAAAACAGGAAAGGAAACCGGTAAATAAGAAAAAAAAAATGCAGCCAGGAACCTGGAGAGAAAAGTCTGGGGAGTTAGTGGGGAGAAAAAAGACAATAGAGCAGTGAAATGTCAGAACTCTTTAATAGTGTCTAGAGTTCTTAGGGAATAGTCATCATATTCATGCTTGCTCAAGTCCAGGCAAATTTAAAATAATTTTGAAAATGGAGAAGTCACCTGCTTTACCAAATGATATTCTACTCCCAGTTATGTAAGGACTGAGGCATCCTTTACCTTTCCCTGTTCCCTGCTCCCTTCACACCCCAGGGCCGTGGGACACCCTCAGGTAGTAGAGGCAAGGGGCCAGGGAGGGCACAACCAGTGCTACTGGGAAATCTTTGAGAATCAATCCTAGGTGTCCTGGTTTGTTTCTCAGTGATTAACCCTGTCAACATGTTTTTGGGGAAGGAAAGCAAACAGTGGCCCATTTCCACATGTGGTGAACCACACAGTGTTGGGCCAAGTAGGCCAACATGTGAAATAGATGAAACGGACTTGAATGTCTTTCTCCTCCTCCTCACCTGGAGACTGGTCTTTCTTTTGCCCCAGTAGGAGAGTTTTCTACGAATTAAAGTTGGTTAACAAACTGAATGGTGGTGATGATTGCACAACTCTGCAAATATACTAAAAAAAAAAAAAACAACCCACCACCATAATTGCATATCTTTAAATAGTGAATTTTATATTATGTGAATTATATATTAATAAAGCTGTTACTTATAAAAGAGAATGAATTATCCCGAGGTGTAAAAAGGCTCCCAGTTGTTAGAGAGTTCTGACCTTATATGTCATGAAAGCTTCTATGTCAGTTAATGAACTGGAATGGCAGTGGGATAAAGTAACTTCTAAAGTCTTATCTGACCTTATATTCATCTGTATGTGTTATCAGTAACATAAAGTGAACAACTGGAAAGCTCTATATTTCCTGGGAAATATTCAGCATGCTGATTCCTAGGCAAAAAAATATAGTTTGTAGGTTCAAGTTCAAGGCTGAAAATCAGAGTTTGGCTTGGAGCCCCTGGGGTCACCGTACACTTCTTCCTACAAGAAAGGCCTAATGTTTTAGGCTTCATCGCTGGGATACCTGATGTGCCTGGTCTAGGAAACTAGCTCCCTGCTCAAAGGAGGAGACATGCTGCTTTTTATGCAGCAGTAGCGATACTTTGCAACCCTTGGAAGCTTCCAGACAAGAGATGACCCAGGGCCAGAACAGAATTGAGATTCTTGGAGGAAATGCCTTAGTTTTTTAGTTTATACTGTCCTGTGCCTGTGGGATGGAAAGAAAGATATCAAAAGATACGGGGGTGACTTGATTACATTGGCTTGGCATTCTCCTCATTAAGCCTCATGGAATTAGACTTATGTTAAGAGTTGATACCAAGGGACCACTTAGCAAATCTCTTTTGGCCCTTGATGGGTTAATATCACAGCACAGGGTGTGTTATTCATCCAGAAGGGTAATGACCTAAATTTTAGTTTAGCACTTAATAATTAACATTTCCCTTCACCCCTCATCCTGTCCATTTATCATGGTCTCAGTGTCTGTCTTTTCTTGTTTTTGGCAATCAATTTTCTTTTCTTTGGGTTCAGAAGACAAGTGGAGCCCCAGTCCTGGAGAAGGCACTTGGCTACAACATATGGTACTTTCCAGAAAACAGTACTAACTTCACAGAGACATTGAACACCACTAATGAGATGCTTGAACTATATCTGGAAGGCAAGACCTATTGGGTTTGTGTGGTTTCTTATAATTCTCTTGGGGAATCTCCAGTGGCCACCCTGAGGATTCCAGCTACTGATGAAAAGTGTAAGTACAGTGTAATTCTCCCTTAGGTGCCTGGCCCCATCTAGTTGGTCAGGAAGTAGTCCCTCTGTTCTCAAGAGTTGTGTTTTTCTTAAGTCAAAATGAAAATGAAGCAGGAATTTTTAGGTTATGGTGAAGAAAGCAAAATCTTGTGGTAATTAATGAGCCTGGAACAAAGCCTGTGTTGAAAATCAGAGGCTTCATAAAAGTCATATGAGACAAAGTCATACACCTAGAAGTTCTGTATGCTGCTTGGTCTGAGTGAGTCATATAAAACTGTCAGATAAACCACATTGGTCCTCAGTGGCAAAACCTCTCTATGGAGATTTTCTCCTCACAGTATCGACCATGTCCCAGCCTTTGTTTGCTCATTCTCCTGTGTTCTTCCTTTTCCTATTTCTTTCTGGGTTTTTTTTTTTTTTTTTTGATGTTTGTTTATCTTTGACAGAAAGCAAGAGAGTGTGTATGTGTGCCCACAGTTGGGAGGGAGGAGAGGTTGAGAGCACAAGAGAGAATCCCAAGCAAGTTCCATGCTGTCAGCACAGAGCCCAGTGTTAAGAACTTGTGAGGTCATGACCTGAGCTGATATCAAGAGTCAAACACATAGCTGGATGAGCCACTAGGAACCCCTCATTATACTTTTGATAAAGTAATTGTTATCATTTTACTACCCCTGGGCAAACTTACATTTTGTATTACATTTGGGAATAAACTGCCACCTTTGATTCTCATTCAAGGAGTTGCAGGCAAGGGGTTTCCTCTCCCCTACTTTATTTCTCTCTATAAATATATTTCCCATTCTGTAGATTTTATCATTTATTTTATTTGTTACCCATCTCTCCCTCAATTGGGTACAAGTTCCATGAGTACAGAGAATATTTTTTATTTTTTAAATTTTTAAAATTTCTATTTATTTATTTTTTATTATTATTATTTTTTTTACAAATAGTTTATTGTCAAGTTGGTTTCCATATAACACCCAAGGCTCATCTCCACAAGTTCCCTCCTCCATGCCCATCTCCCTCCTTCCCCCCCGCCACACCCATCAGTCCTCAGTTCTCAGAATTCAAGAGTCTCTCATGGTTTGCCTCCCTCCCTCTCCCCATCTATTTTTCCCCTTCTTCTCCCCCATGGTCCTCCGTTAAGTTCCTCCCAATCCTCCTATACATGCAAACATATGGTATCTGTCCTTCTCTGCCTGACTTATTTCGCTCAGCATAACACCCTCAAGGTCCATCCATGTTGCTACACATGGCCAGATTTCATTCTTTCTCATTGCCATGTAGTATTCCATTGTATAGATCAACCACATCTTCTTGATCCATTCATCAGTTGATGGACACTTAGGCTCTTTCCATATCTTGGCTATTGTTGAGAGTGCTGCTAT